TGTTAGCATGTCAGGGTAGACAACCCTTTGGGAGCCTAGAGGCTCATCCACTTATTCTACTGGCACCCCAAAACGCACCGTCTTCTCCATTATGCCAGCTCTGAACCATGGTACTGATTTTATGTCCTTTTCGTCTGGCCCAGTTTCTGTTCTCAGTTACACCAGGAAATCTTTGGAATAATTCCTTTGGAGCCAGGAAGATTACTGTGGATCAGTGCCAAAGGCAGCAAACTATGGCTCATGATCTTTGACGAAGAAAACTTATACATAACATTGAACTACTTGCCACTCTTTGTCAAGTGGATCATTCTGGATCTTTTGAAAGGGCCTGAGGTACCCATCAAGGGAGCTAAGATCCGCCCTTTCACATAATCATCTTTCCTCTCAAAAGCTTTCTCAATAAAAATCTTCAAGGACTAAACTGAATTAATTTGAATTAACAGTAACTAGGGCCTGAGACTTCCAGAAGCTCTTCAGCACCCATAATAACTGCTGAAGACAATGGGAGTTGCAGATGATCAGTAAAAATTGATTAAAGGGTTTAACAGAATTGCTCTTCTACAGTGCTCTAGCCCCAGACCCACAAACACTTATCCCCTGCTGTCTTTTGGCAGTCACAGATTTTTAAAAAAGCCAAAAACTAAAAGCTATGACTTGCATACAACTCCCCAAATCACCCGATAGCTATGGGTTATTAGTACAGCTCCACTGACCCTCATGCATGGGGAATTTCAAGGGCAAAGTCCTACGCTGGCATCTGCAATGCAGATCTCATCGTCTCTCTGCATTAGCTTCACCATCTGCAGATTTCTGCTGCGTGTTTTGCTCTTGCTCTCCACACCAAATTCCCCTTGGCACGGGCAGAAGTTCTAAGCAGAGACAAAAGGAATTTTTACAGTACAGAGGGGCAAGAGATCCAAAAGGAACGCTTTGCCTAAAATTCCCAGCATCACAGCTACATAATTTCTACCTGATTTATGTTTTTCAATTGCAGCACGACCACAGGATACAGATGCAGTTTAACTCACATCCCTTTACACATTTTCCTCTAGTGTGTTTTCCTTTTTTTTTAAATCAAGGAAATAACAGACTTGATCTCATGCTCATAAACTTGAAAACTTTAAAAGAACTGTTCTCCCAGAGCACTCATCCTGTCAAAAAGACTGCTAAAGATGTCTCATGCATCTTGGGAAAGAAAGGTGGGGGGGGGAAAATGAACATGTATCAGAAGTCTCTGTGTTCACTGAAATTTGGATCGCTCTGGAGCTCGTGGCTATTCTTTTTGAATAAAATCATCTGCTGCTGAAAGGCTTAATATCACTACTGAATGAAGTTTTCTACCTGGAAAGACTTATTAACTTTTTTTCTGTGAAACAGGAGGAGAAAAACCGACACGGAGGCCTTGCAAAGGAGAAAGGCATGGAGAGGGATGGGTTTGGGAAGACACAGCCATCCACCCTGCAGAGCTCCTGTCCCCAGAGGCCACTCGAGCCAGCGCGTTGCTCTTGCTTGGCCAGAGCACACGAAAGCAAGCAGAGATGGAGGGAGAGTCCTCGACGAGGCACCCGAGACCTTGCTCTGAGCTCACTCTTGGCACTGGAAGTTGTCTTTCTTCCCTGCTTCATCTTGCTTCCTCTCAGTCCCCACCTTTTGCCAAGGGTAGGTGTTCAGTGGATGAACCATCAGGCCAAGTCTCCACTGGCACCTAGACCTATTTCTACTTCACCCCCCTGCAAGACCTGCTCTGAAGCAAGTGAAGTCATTCTGGACCCAGCAAACCGGCCTCCCTCCCATCCTCTGGCAGCCAAAGGTGCAAGGAGGCCATCAGAGCTGGCCAGACGGAAATTATTTCCATTAGGATGGACCTTATCTCATGTAATTTTAGCTATTTAAAAGTCAGGCACCTACTCCAAGCAAACCATTCAGACTCTGCAGGCGAGACAAGCAGAGGGAGGGCTCCTCACCCACCCTGCCATCCACGGGGTGAGCTCTGCAAAGCGAGCAGCTTTGCTCTCTGAAAGCGCCCGTCAGGCTCCGCTTTGCGCGGAGGGAGCCTGGGCACCAGCCCAGCCCGGGGACACTGGGCCTGGGCGGCATCTTCAGCCGCCCCGCACCGACTCCCACCCGACCCGAGCCCCACGCAACGCATCAGGAGCTGAAGGTTTGCTGCTGGAAGCACGAGTTCACCGGGGCTCAGCCTCCCAGGCTGCTCCAGGCGTGCAAGCGTAGGGGGTGAGCAGAGGGACACGCTTTGGCCGCAGCTGGGGCCAGCTTTCCCCAAAACTGGGATGCCACAAGCCAGCTCACGCACCCAGCTGGGCCTCTCAGCCTTCTCTGCTGGGGTTTGCTTTTCCTAGGGCTGCTTTCGGCTGGGAGATGCCCCTCTGCAATAGCCCTGTGCAGGGAATTAAGGAACGCTGAAGATTTAAATAAGGAAAACATATAGGTGCTGAGGCTTTCCTCAGCATGAAAAATTCATTTTCTCCATGGTTATATCCCTTAATGAGATGATCAGTGACCTGATGAATGTCAGGTCACCAGTTTCCAGTACAATAGTCTGTGCACTCTTTTTTAAAACTGTGTTTTTTCCAGCTACCTTTTGTCTATAATGAAGGAATAGCACTAAAAATACGTCCCACCATATTCTCCAAAGACATAAATAGACATCACTCCCCTAGAGCCAAGATAGACTTACTTATACCTGCCAGCTGGGGAGTGGGTCCATCCCTGGGAAACAACTTCACTACATATGCACACACATACATTTATATATTAAAATATATTTTTATATATATTAAAATATATTTTTATATATATTTATATGTTAAACCTGTATAAACCCACAAAGGTAGGTAATACGTCTCTAACATACTCAATCCTGAATGGTTCTTTATCTTATATATGCAATTTATTTTTTATATATATAATTTATTTTATATATGTTTTCATATATTTTTATATATAATTTTGTATATATTCAGATATATATATAAAAAACCACAAAGGTGGGCGCATATTTGTCTAATATTTTCAACCTTGAATGGGTCTTTGTTTTACTATAATAATCTTATCCCGCACTCCCTTAAAAAAATGACATCTTTGTAAAGGTACACAGTCATTTCTATGCTATCGGTACAGAGGATAAGTTATTAAGGAAGTGAGCATCAGAAATTATCCTATAAAGTCAGTGCTGTGGATTTTAACCCTTTCAACCATGCCAACTCTGAGCTGGTGTATTTATATATTCCAAGTGTTTCTGTTCACTGTATCATCGAGTATGACCACAGGCCCGCATAAAAATGCCAAGCAATTTTTAGCACAAGCTCAGCATGGCTAGATGCCATGCTCTTCATATGGCATGAAGCCCTTCTAATAGTCCTCACTGTTTTACCTCCTCCCTCTCACTCCAAAAAAACCCACGATGAATGTAAACCTTCAAATCTTTCCATTAACTGTAATAAAAGAGTAGTTTAGCAGCAAAAAAATGTGGGGGGGGGGGACATCGTTACTCAAGTTCCAGTAGAGGTTGGGAAGCTGGCATGGGAGGGAGGGGGAAAAAAGCTATTTCAAGTGGTAGTGCACCCATAAATAAATAAATATTGACATATTATGCCAGGATCTGTGCTGTCGTTGGAAAGGGCAGGCAGGGAACACAGGGCACATTCAGAAGACCACAGAGATGATTTAGCTTGAGAAGAGTAAGTGTTATATATACATTTAAATACATAGATGTTTTTCTGGGTCTGAGCCTGAAAATGTTTGTACACAGGAGTACATTTGCCCATTTGAGTAGGATTACGGGTCTAAGCTCTTGCAAGATTACAGGCATTATTGGTTGCGCGCCGGCATGATTTGCACGGCTACGGAGAGCCGTGCTCAGGTCACCGGCTACGGCTGCGGTGACCACCGGCAGCCGGCTCCCGGGCGGGCGGTGGAGAGAGCCCTCCCAGAAGAAGGTCACAACGCAGGTCCCCACAGCCCCCCACTGCGACCCAGCTCTGCTGGCCCCGGGGAATAAAGGATCTAGGGTGGCTCCTGCCCCCCCTGGACGGAAAAAGCTATATTGAGCATCTACATCTGTCTTAGGTATAATCATGGGTATGGCAGTGTTCCTGCAAAACATTTGCACCAGGAAGCAACTGGACACGTGGACAAAGTTCCAAGTGAAGTGAAAAGTTAATTACTGGCAGGACCTGACATTTAGAAAAGGACTTTAAATGGGATTTTTAAACAGGATTTAGGCTTGATTTTCAGCTTAAGTACTTACATCCAAAACTGAGATTCAAAAAGACCTCTTCAGCCACCTGGCCCTGGAGATCCCAACATTTTCTAATACCCTCCTTCTTCAACCCGAAACCACCACGTCTATGCTCCTGCTCTGCGCATCCAGAACCAACCAAACAAACACTCCCCTCCTGCCAAAGACTCTCCAAAAGCCAGAAACCAGCACAAGCCTGGTCTCCACACAAAGATCTCCAGAGGCATCTGGAGCATCTTTAACAAGCCTGCTCCCAGAACAAGGATGTGAGCTTTGTCTCTAAAGCACTGCCACCTGGGGAAAAAAATACCCAACAGCTCTTCCGCAGCAGCCTGATGAGCAGAGCTTCCCAGAGCTAGCCCAAGTCTCTTGTTGCTTTAAGCAGGTTTAAACCCACATGCAGCCACAGAGACATCTGTTTAGCACAAAGCTAGAGGCTGTTCTGGATGGGGACATGTCAGAAGGAAACACAAGGTCTCTGCGGCCAAGAGGACAACCCACAAGTGAGATCCTGCCTCTGTAACCCAGCAGTTAAAGCATTCACCTCAGAGTGGGAAGTCCTGGATTTTGGCCCCACATCCTGATGATATTTCAACAGCTTGCTGTAAAATGCACATGCAGATACCAGAAAAGGAACTGTCAGTAAGTCCTGGCTTAGCTCAAGCCACAAGTGACATGCAAAGCAAAGCCCGGGCTGCTCTCGCGGTCCTGAGTGGGTCCCCATGACGGAGGCACGCATTACCTCTGCATCCTGGACATCCTGTGGAGCTCCATGTCGTCGCTGCCGCGGAAGCCTTTCGCAAAGGGGTTGTTCTCAATCTTTAACTGGGTGATCTGAAAGGGAGGAAATGCAACGAGTTCATTGCAAGTCCAAGGCATGGCCTGGGAGAGAGGGGATATTGTTTATTAAACCCAAGCCAGTAGGGATGTGGGGGGAAACGCAGCTTTCAGGAGCTCAAGTCATCCTTCAGCTCAGGCACTGACCACTCCAGATGGGCCTTCCTCTAGATCTCTCCACTGGAAAAATATCTCCTGTCAACAACCTCTCGCTTCCCTCAGGCTTGTCCCATAACTAATAAGTGGGACTGCACACACAGAGACACGTTTTTCTCTGGAGAAAACCTGCTTTCTTAAAGTTACTTACTTTCTTTGTGCTGTTGGGACAGAAAGGGCTGCACTGACCAGGGATGAAAGTCATATTGCCTGAATAAATCCCACTGACTCCAACAAGCACTTTCTCATCAATGTGCAGCCATGACCGAAACCTTACCTCTCAGACCCTGGATCCTCTCACTCAGACTGGCAAGGCTCATCCCTTCGGTGTTCCAGACCAGCTAAATGAACTTCAGGTGCTCTGCATCAGACATTCTTCCACAGCTGACCCCACACTGCCTAAGGTACTCAGAGGGCAACTTCACCTCTGACCATCGTGCTCTGGAGGAATATTTGTCTCCCCACTAATTCTAGAAGGAATTAAGAGGGACTCGTTTGCTCGCTTAGTTGGTTACCTTCAGCATCTAAAGTTTGCTGGGATGAATTCCCCTCAGACTCCTGACTTTGGTCCTCTTACAACATCTAAGTTAAAAGTTTAAAGCAGCTGCCATATAAAACGTACCCTTATCCAAAGCAACTGTGTTACTCAAAGCAATGCAATCCTTTCCTTCACATGCCTCTCCTGAGGGCTTAGATGAGTAGGTTTTCTCAAGCCAGGGATTGTCATTTAAGTAAATGTTAACTGTGGTCCAGCAACACCCTCAAATGCCCTGCTGATCTTGTACAAACTCTGCCATGCCAAATTTGATGCAAATGCTTTGGTGCCTTTGCAGAGCAGGACTGAGTCTGGATCAGGTGTGATCTAGTTGCAGTGCCCTAATATTCAGGCAGAGGCAGAAGAGGCAACAGTTCCCCTTCTTCTCTTTCTCCATCGCTGCCTGGCAGTCCAAGCCCTCAGCCAGGAGACCCACGTGCACTTGCCCAGGAGGAGAGACAACCCTGTGTTTGCCACTGGAGGAACTTTCTGAGCTCTCCGCGTTTTATGGAAAGACTGTCCTTCCTTCCTACTGAAAGTTGGCCAATGGGAAGGAAAGAGCTCGAGATTAATGGCGGGAGAACAGAGAGAGGTTCATGTTCACCAAGTCAAGCACACACAACCGGACCCACCTCTTTGCCAAAATTCAAAGAGAAAAATCTGGCTCAGCTAGTGTCAATAGCAAACCCTGCCAGGTGTCTGCACGACCAGATTATTTTGCTATTTTCTTGTCTTATAGCATTTTTTTTTCCAAAGGCCATTTGTTTATTTGCCATTTTTGCCTAATTCAGCCCTGAATCTCACACAAAGACCCCATCACCACTACGCTTGTCCCCATGGGCATTCCCATTAAATCAAGACCTAATTTAGTATATAAACAGGCCATTACACTTTTTTTGTCATGCATTTCAGATTTCAAAGAGAAGGGTAAACAAACAATCTATTTGATCCAACTTGCCATTTGAGCCGTTCTCTAGCAGTAAAACAGGGGCGCATTTTATAATAAAAAGCCCTGAATCATTAGACAACCAGCTGTGTATTTTGCAAAGAAACTGCCTATCGGTTTCCACCTTAGAGGTGGTGGCACTTCTGTAATGAATAATAGGCATTATTCAACTTTTTGAATGTTTCTATGCAATTTGCATTCTGAAGCACACTAAATGTACGAGTTGTCCTCACTTGCCGAACCCAATGGCAATATTTGCTTGCATAAGTGAAGTCCTTCACTGAGCAAGGATTTACAGTATTGGCACCAGCACACAAATGTACAAAGGGCCGGATTCATCCCAACCTAACCGAAGGCATTTTAACCAAGGCGCCTGCACTGGGAACCTCGTCTCCCAGCATTCCTTCTGGAATCAATGGAGGGAGATGGGGACTGCCAGAGGGCACTGGGGCTCTGAGGTGGGTAACGTTGCCTTCACAGGTCCCCAGCGCTCACCATTCACCAGAGAAGGAGCCGTCAACACGCTAGCGCCTAATTTAAGGACCTCGGATGAATGCCCTGTTTGATGAATCAAGCCTTTAATCACCCCAAAAATGTCAGACAAAATATCATAAGGGACCTTGATCTTGCAAATACGTCGCTTTATGAGTAGAGAAGACCCCTAACCCGCATCAGGAACACTCTTACAAGCAAAGGTATTAACATATGTGCTGGTGGCAGCAAGCTCCAAGTGAAGCACGGCTGACTTCAGCCTCCTTGAAATTAAACATCTGCTAGATTGAAGGCATCTAGAAACCAGGGACTGCAGAAGGTTTTAAATTGGGTCTCAGATCTTTGGTGTAGTTCAGACAGATTTCAGCAGGAGCTTTCAGAACAAAGTTTCCCTAGATGACACCTGAAGGCATCAGCCCTCGCACTAAGCCAGGAGAGTCCAAGCCAGATTTAACAAAACCATACACAACAAAATAGAAAATAGAGAAAAACTGGTGAATCCCTGCTTTAGAAAACAGCCTGTGGAAGATATTTTGTTTGGCCAGTTTTTGTCTGACTTACAAACTATTTCAGAGGTGGAAAAGCAAACGAATGGATGGAAATAACCTTCTTCTGGATCAACTTTGCCATAGCGAAACTGTTTAATTGACTGTAACTCATTGGGGTGGGAAAGAAAAAGCTGTCAGAAAGTCAATTGACAGTTACATCATGAAAAATAAAAAAAATACAACGTCCTGCGAGGTCATTAAGACAGAGTGCCCAGGGCTAAATTATATAGCACAGATTCAATAAAACTGTAGGGCTTTGTTTATGTATTTGTGACTGAAAGAAATTGATGGCAAAGTTCGCTACTGACCACTGATTTCTAAAGCTGCTGCAGACCCCTCTGAGATGAGAACTTTCCGGGGTGAGGCCTCCCAGATTTACACTTTTTGGGGCTTGTCTGACCTATAGGTTCATCTTCACTTTAACGGGAAGTGACAGTTCCCAATGAAATCTCAGTGCCGCTCCTCCACACTCCTTTCTCTGGGCTAACTGACCACAAAACGCTTCTGCTGAGACATTTCCAACGGCACCTTTAACTCCAGCATAATAAAATTTAGCTTTGCATTTAGTTAGGTCCAGGGAAGACTTTTTTTTTTTTTTTTTTTGCACAACCATATATTTATATGGGTATTTGTGTCCACAGGCTCATGAATATTGTTATGTCCAGGGTCAAAACCACCACTCAGTATTACTTTTTGTCACGCACTTGCCATAATAAGATCTCTTTCTCAATTGCTTCTAACCTGACAAAACTTTGTTAAGGTTGAAATGTTCTACACCAGGTAAATACCCTGGGCTCTGTTTTATTTACTTATTTTACTATCAGCCGAACTAGTCACACTTTTTTTTGAGCACTTCAGCTAAGCAAAAACACACGACCCTGACCCTATGGGGCTCTTCTGAAACCCTAAAGGCTGGGCATGCTGGAAAAGGGACTTCACGTCCTGCAAGGGATGGGGACCCTTAGTTTCTGAGCTCTCTTCTTGTGATGATCTGCCCCTCTCGGACAACTTAAAAGTCTGAGTGGGGAAAAAAAATCACCATTCAGGTCAACCTATTTAGTGAGGAAGAGGTCAAGGTGATTATCCTTGAGCTGAGCACGCATGGACCTCCCCATGCTGTGGGGATACGTGCTGTCCCTGCTGTGCAGGTGACCCTGGTCCTGCTCAGCACGGCAGAGACGGGCCAGGACCATTCCTGCCACCACCACAGTTGCTGTACTGGGAGTAACAGGGAGGCTGGACTTCAGGCTTGAAAGCACAGAGCCTTTTTCTTTTACACTCTCACATACCCCAGGTGGAAACCAAGTCAGTGTGGAGGAGGAAGCCAAACCAGAGAAATAGATGAAGACAAGTTGCCTGCTGAGACTACGTACATCTGTCTGGGCCAAACAGAGGAGCTGGATGGGGAACTGGGACTCGGAGCCCAAGGTGAAGGCCAGGGGAAGGGGGGGGCTGCTGGCAGGGGGGGAGAGGATGCTGAACCCAGAAGCCAGTGAAGGAAATGGGAGGGATTGAGAGCCAGTGACTGGTCAGAATTACTGGTGCAAGACAGAGGGGCTCATTGAGGAGGGTGTTGGCTGAACTGGGAAACAAGGACGGAGGATGAGAAGAGACAGGCCTTGCCCAGTGTTGGGCTGGGGGCAGGGAGAAGGTGGGTCAGGAGGCAGGAGTGAAGCTGATGAGAAATAGGGTGTCTTTGCAGAGCTTGAGGAGGGGTTCTGGATTAAAGACCAAAAGGGGACAGCTGCTCGGAGCTGGCTGAGCATCCTGTCCCGGGGCTGGGAAGGAAGCAGGGTCAAGACTGAGGACAAAGGGGCAGAGGGGGTCAGGACTGGTTCAGACACAGGTTGTGAAGGACACGAGACCTCTTGAAGGAAGCGCTCTCCCACCGAAGCCTGGAATGGGACTAAGCATTTGAGAGGAGAGATACGAGGAACCACGGAGAAGGTCAGTGAGAAGAGAAGGGATCACTGCAGTCCCCAAGTGACTGAGAGCTGCACATAAGCTACCAGTCCTAGCGACAAAGAAGAGATAGATGGTCTCACCTCACTCAACACCAGGGAGCCCTGCCTATCTCAGCTCTTGGGGGACCCCCCTTCGGAGAAGAGCCTTCCCTGAGTAAGGAGGGGAGCTGCCCCTTCTTGCCATGGAGGTGGCAAGACACAGGACCAGCGGCTCCAGACTGGGCAGAGAGAGTTTGGGGGACACAGCCCTGCAGGGCTGCTCTGAGGGGCTGGACCGGCTCCAGATTCTACACAGAGGCAATCCATAGGATGCCAGCCAGGCCACCACCCCGGTGGCCTCTATTGAAGTGATGGACGTGGCTACCTGCAACCAAAGACAAAGAGAATTGAACTGTCAAGGCAAAACATCCTGAGCCCAAGGACCTGCCCGCCTCCTACACAACCCTGCCAGATGCCTCGACGGAGCGGCAAAAGGCCACGTGCTCGGAGGAGAGCCGCACAGGCAGCTCTCCACAATTTGGCAGGATAGAACACCAGTCAGCTCGGTCAACTTAACAGCATTCTTTTAGTACAGGGGTCTTTCTGGGAGTGGGATGAACCTATATATTCAGAAAGCCCACCAGCACGTTTCTCTATGCCCTCCGGTTATCTGGGAGTGCATCAGATTAGACTTCAGCCAAGCCCTGCCCCAGTCCTCTGCTTTTCTATGGCGCACGTAGCATTTCTGGGTGCCTATAGCATCCCAGCTGGGCCTAATGTTTCCTTAAAAGAATTTGGGCTACCAAGAACGTTAAATAAGTTGGGGGGGGGGGGGGGGAAAGCATAAAACCGGATATCCTGAGGAGGGGAAACCAATATAAAGCCCAAATCCAGCTAACGGGCAAAGTAGGTTGTAAAAATTAATGAGAATAATTGTTGTGAATTCTTGCTTTTGAAAGAACCCTCATGAGGGCAGAACCTTAATTATTTCTGTCTATTAGGGTTCATTTCCTGGTCCTAAGCAGAGAGCTAGTACCTAATAAATACGAGCTAGTAACACAATGATTTAAGCTACAGCAAAAAGGTACTTAACTGCAGGGGAAGTTAATATTTGGGAATCAACCTGATTGCAAGCACCCATTGTGTAAATGGCAAGGAAATGAAATGTGCATGTGACCTATTTTAACACCTCAATATTTCTGGGGTATTTTTTCAGGGTTGCAGAGAGGGGGGAGGTGGTCAACCAAGCTGCTGACAACCACACTGAAAACTTTACCAAAACTTTCTTCATAGCTTAAGCCTCCTTTTGGGGAGTAGGGCTGGCGAGGGGGAGATCCCAGTGTGCTTAAATATCTTTTCAGGCTGTCTAAAATATCAGGGGAAATAAGCACAAGCCCTACATTGGGATTGCAGCTGTGCTATTGAAACAAATTGACGGCTCTGAAATCAGGCAGGTATTTCCATAAGCTGTGTAAGCATAGACTCAAACGCATTTGTGGGCAAATCATACAATTAATACTGTAATATAATTCACCTATAACATACATGTATACATTTGTAAAATTTAGACACATGTGTACACATGTAAAAGACACACATATAAATTTGTTTGTGTGTATATATTTGTACGTGTGTAAAATACGTGGGTATATAAAAACTATGTGTAAAATATACAAACTGTGTGTGATTGTGCAGATAGGAAAATTTACATGAAGGATGAGCTACAGGTGATGGGTGGAGGTGGAAAAGAGATGGTTGTAAATGGGAAAAATTAGGTAGTGCACTGACAGAGAGACGTGGGGCTGGACAGGCAGACCCTCCTTGGGGAGCTCAATGTAGACACACACAGATCTGTGGTACCGCGATCATTTATGGCAACAGAAAGCACAGTCTGCAGTGCCACGTGAAAATCCATTGTGCCAAGCAACATCTCAGCTGCGAAAGCTGAACTCGTGTTTCTGCCTGTGGAAAAGACCCCACTTGCCCCTCGCCTCGGCGGAAGGATGTTACCCCCTGTGCACAACCAGCATCTCCAACAGCACCAGCTGCAAGCTGCCTCAGCCCTGATATTATTCTCCATCTGCGCTGGGGCAAGCTACAAATTTTATTCCCTTCCCTGGAGGGAGATGCCATTTAGGGTAGATCATTCCCTGGTTTATTTTTATGGCTCTATCTTTCTCAATTGGGTCTTTATCTTGGGGCTACAGCCACTCTTTATTTGTTCCCCCAATGATTCAGTGCCGCAAGAAGAGGAATGCGTGTGTTGGGGTGGGGGGGGAAAGGAGGGATGTAAGTGTATGTAAAATGTGTAGGGGGGTGTGTAAAATATGTAGTGGTGTCTGCATGCGGGTGCATGTGTCTGGTGGGACGCGAGCGCGTGTGTGTCTGTAGGGATCCATGTGTCTGTCAGTGCGTATGTTTTGACAGAGACGGATACGCAGATGTCGCTTCTTATCAACCAGATGTTGTTGATTTACAATCAAATATTCCTGCTCCTCCTAATATGGCAGTTTTCCCAAACTACTGTACTTACATGTTTCTGCTTTGCTTTTGTTTTATTTGCATGATAATTTCTTTTTCTATAAAACAGTCCTATTTTTCTTCAAAGGAAAGCAGTTAAATTCAGGTCTGTTTTCTTATAGGGAAATGCCTTTAAAGCGAGCAGTGTGTCCTGTTTTATTAACTCCCAGTTCTATTAATATTATATTCTTTCTCTGAATCCATCAAGCAGAAGTTAAACTTGATTTTATAGCATCCACAGCGGAGTTATAATTTAAGGCATAATTTGGCAAGGACTCAATTTGGATTCAACTTGCTTGTCCTGGTCGTGCCAACAGCTCCTATTTTAAAGGGCAGGGAAGTATTTTCTTTTCTCCCTAGTTACGGTGAAACACTCTTTCTTCTCCAGCCTACCTCTGCTTTCTGCACCTCCTTTGCCAACTGATGGACAGAGGAAACGCAATCATTGCACGCAGGTTTAGGAGCTTCCTATTTACATCTCCAGGAAAGCATCCAGGATTTTTCTGGGGTATTAAATGACCTTTCTCCACTTGAAAAACAATCATTTCATTCTGTCCAGTGCAAAGGAACCATCCTACCTGTCCGTAAGTACAAGTAAAAGTTTGTAGTAATTGCTTTCTACGCAGTTTGGGGAGGAATTTGCTTTTATTCCGAAGGAAAATTGTCTTTTCATGGGGCTCTGCCCTAGAAAGGGCCTGCGGGCAGCGCTGAGGGGCAGTTGGTGAAAGGCATCTCTAATACATCTGCTGGGAATTACCCCAGCCCTAAGCCTTCTTCCCCAGCCCTAAGCCTTCCTCCTTCTCTGGCCTCACTGGTTGGGGAAGCCCAAAAGCGGAGCAGGGGAAGGCGAGGGTGCAGCAGCCCCCCAGCAGGGCGCCCCCGAGCAGACAAGCAGAGAGGGCTGGCAGTGGGAACCCACACATGCCTGCCCAGCGGCACCCCAAGAAAACTGTCTTTGATTTTTTTTTTTTTTTTCCTTTGTTTTGCTTGGGCAGGCTGGGAGCTGATTTCAGGCACAGAGCCTCCCTTTCCTTCCAGGGCCTCCTCACTGCCAACCCTGCAGCCCCCCGCCGACCTCCCCGCAGGCCCCCCGAGGAAGGAGCCCCATCCCAAACAAAGGGCCGGAGCGCGGCCAGCCCGGGTTATCAGCCCCCCGGCCGCGGAGGGGAGCGCCGGGCTCCCTTCTCCAGATTACAAGCCTTTGACCGATGGGGAGGGGGGAGAAGATAAAACCAACTTCCTCGGTTGGTCGTCTCCTCTCTGAGCAAACCATCCTGTTGAGCTAATTCCCCCTCGGCTCGCCCTAAGCCCCGTCTTTAGACGCTTTGTATGTGTCGCCAGGAATAACAGGGGATGGGATGGGTGTGTGGCGAGAGGAAAAGGAGAAAGGGAGGAAAAAAAAGAAAAAGGAGAAGGAAGGAGGAGAAAAAGGAGAAAGTGGGGAGAAAAAGGAAAAGGAGAAAGCGGGGGGGGGGGGGATGGAAAGAAAAGGAGGAGGAGAAAAGAAAAGGAGAAGGGGGAAAGAGAAAAAAAGGGAGAATTGGGAAAGAAAAAGGACAAATGGGAAAGAAAAAGGAAAAGGAGAAGGAGGAAAGAAAAAGGGAGAAGTGGGAAAGAAAAATGAAAAAGATAGGGGAGGGGAAAGAAAACGGAAAAAGGAGAAGGGCGGTGAAAGAAAAAAAAAAAAAAAGAAAAAGGAGAAGGAGCGTAGGGGGGGAAGAAAAAGGAGAAGAGGGAAAAAGAAAAAGGAGAAAGAGGGAAAAAAGGAGAAGGGGGGAAAAGAGAAAGTGGAGGGGGGGGGGGGGGGGGTGGGAAGAGGAAGGAGAAGGGGGACAGGGGGAGTAGAAGGGGAAAGGGGAGCCGGGGCCCTCGGAAGCGGCAGCGGGAGGAGGGGAGGCAGGGACGCGGTTCCCGGGGCGAGGCTGGCCCGGCCCCTCACCTTGTGGTTTTGGTAGGAGGTGACGGCGATGAAGGCGGTCTCCGGGAAGACGTGGGTGCAGAAGGCGGTGTTCTTGGAGCCGAAGCCGTTGTTCTCGTCCGCTTTCACGATGTGGAGCCGGGGCTGGTATTTGTGCATGGAGTTCAGGATGATCTGGGCAAGGGGAGAAGGAGAGGACATCCCGTGGGAATGGGGGAGGCACAGCGTGACGCACCCACCCACCCACCCGCTCCGCTGCCCGGGGAGGGGGAGACGAAGAGGAAGAAGAGAGGGGTCCGCAGGTCTTCACTTCCCCTTCCCTAAAATATTGGCCTCCTAGGGCTCCCCCAGAAGGGCTGACTTAGGTGCTAGGTGCATCTCTCTCAAGAAAATCTCCCCCCCGCCCAGCAAAGGAGCCCATCAGGGCCGGGTGATGCTGTGAAAGGTGGCTCCTTACCCACTTCCCCCTCCCCGGGCTGTGCTGCTGTCTCCCCACATCCCCGGGGTGGGGGCAGAGTTGCTCCCCCAACACACGTTGACATGAACCTGCTGCTAGTGGGGGCTTCCCGCCTTATCAGGTCCTTGACAGCCCCCCAAAAACTCCCAGTTCACCATCACGACGGTCCGAGCATCCCAAGCGCCCCCCCCCCCCCCTTCCCCCCTGAGGAGGGCAAAGAGGCAAGACGGGGGGGAGGGATTTAGTGTGTCCTCCCCCGCCAGCCACCCGCGGAGGATGGGAGAGGAGGGTGGCGGGGGACGCGCTGTGTTCAAGATAAAAAGCGGTCCCTGCTCGGTACCGGGTTAATCTCGGGGGAAGGGGGCGGAGGGGGGGGCGGCGGGGGGCCGCTCGGTCACGATAATGACTGCCGGACCCTGGCGACAGCGAGACGCAGCGCGCCCCGCCGCCGCCTCCCCCGTCCCGGGGGTTTAAGCAAATTGCTTTGACATCCAGGAAAGTCGTAGACATCAACGGTGAACGATCTAATGGTTTTTAATTTCATTACAGCGACTCTAATTGAGAGACTCCTGGTGCAGCTCCTCCTCTGAAGTCCCTTATTGTCCCCTCAGCGCCTTCGGTTTGTTTAGAGGGATTTTTCCCCAGAGCCGCCTGTTCGCAGCGGGGGATGCTCGGCCCCGTCCCCCCGGGCCAGATCCCGCCCTGGGACTGCTCCCCAAAACCAGCCCCGGGGGGCGGAGGGGTCCCCCCGGCTGCGGGGCTGCGGAGTCCCCGCTCACCCCTCCCTCTTCCCGGGGTGAGGAAGGACCTTATCTCTGGAAAGCAGCACTCGCAAACCGCCTTGCCCCCAGCTCGAGGCAAAAATAAAATAAATGTTAATTTAAAAAATAAAATTTAAAAAATAAAAAAATCAACCCCCCAACTGGATGGGGGAAGGAGCGCTCGTAAAAAGATGCTCAGCACTGGGGTGGGCTGGGGACTTGTCCAGCCGCTCTCCCCGGCAGCCCCCCCCTCACTTCTTAGCGACCACGTGGGCGAGGATTTAATAGCACTAGATTTATCATTAAAAAGCGAAGAAAAAAAAAAAAAAGTGGAAAAAAAATGAAACTGAAGTGTTGAAACAAGACTGGAGAAAAATACACTCTTGGAAAGGGATTGCAGGATCTGGATTCACATATGCGCTTAAGTAATTATATATATATATTTTTATAGAGACATATATATTATTCATACATGCACATATATATTTGCTCAGAGGAACACGCATCTTTGGAGACCTTCGAAGGAGGGCTGTTTCTGGCTGCAGAATTCACACAAGCTTTCACGGCCCCACGAGTCTAGCAAAGACCTTTTTATATCCAAGAAGCTCTAGCGGGATTTCAATATTATTTTTTTTATTGTCTTTAATTATTGTTTCTTTTTTTTTTTTTTTTTTTTTTGGATCGAAGAATCCACATGGTTTTAGGTCCTATTTCCTCGAATAAATTATGCCTGATTAATTTTACCTGTTAGCCAAATTCACGGAGGCAGCGAGCAGATTTTAACACTCCAACACTCCCCATGATATTAAAACCAGGTAGCTGAATACTTATTTAAGCTGGGTGAGTTTCGCCCACTCGCGGACTCCAGCCCCCAGGGTCTTTAATCAATTCCCACGCGGTGCTGCGAAATAGCCCATTTCTAAGGTTTATGCTTTTATTTTGGGGGGGGGTCCTTCATCGGGGTTCATCCCACCCTTTCAGGGAAGAAAATAACACCCCACCAACACAACGGATTTGGGTGTGGGTGCCATTACTACGACCTTGGTGGCGCTGGCAGCGTTGGGGAAAAACAGGCGTGGGAGAAGGACGTGAGCACGCGTGGGACTCCCGGTGCCCTTCTCCCGCCCCTGGTACTTACATGTCCGAAGGGGTCGAGGTGGTTGTTGGTGAGTTTGAGCTTCTGGAAGGAAACGAGCTGCCTCATCCAGTGGGCGCCGGTGGCCGGGGAGTCGGGGTGCACGTAGAGCCGCCCTGGCATGGCCGGCTCTGCCTTCCCCGTCACCGACCTGCGTGGGGGGACAGGCACTGAGTTTCAGTTAAGGGGGGCCGTCCCGTGGGCTCCTGCTCCCCCATCCATCCCCTCCCGTGGGGTCCTGCTCCCCCATCCATCCCCTCCCGTGGGCTCCTGCTTCGCCATCCATCCCCTCCCGTGGGGTCCCTCCCACTTGGGTATCCCCGTACGCGTGGGCAGCGCGGTGCCGGACAGTCCCGCCGTGCTTGGGGAGAACAGGCATTTACAAAGACGCTCGGGGAATTCATGGAGCTTTTTGGCACCTTGCCCGTCGGAGATGGCTCTCGCTGTTTCCCCATTTAACCCCCTCCTTCCCCCCCTCTCCCGTTACCGGCACCCAAACCAGGAGCAAAGGACAGACCGTGTACCAATCCTTTAAGAGTTTCCTGCCCGGAGATATTCCCTTCCTTAATGTAATTAAACTATCAGCTCCACAACAGCCAATAATCTCATCGTCAAACAGGATGACAGTTATCGTCAACTAATTGAGAGAGACTTTTCGCATTTTTTGGATGCATTTCTCTCCCAAGGACTGCAGGAGCATCCCGAGAGGCTCAGGTGAAGCCCCTGCATCCCAAAATCTCTCCTTTGCAGGGGAAAAAGAAGGATAAACCGCTGATTCAAGGGTATCCCTCAACCTGTGCTGCCCAGGTTTGGCCAGCCCGGAAAGCCCGGCATGGAGCTCCCCTCCCTCCTCTTTCCCCCACACTTGCATACCATTTATTATCTGCAAATTTGTATCTGTGGTCATCCGCTGGTACAATATCCATCAACAGTATGTACTTAGTTTTTGGATTAAGTCCAGTGACCTTCACTTTGTAACTGGGGAACATACGCCTATAAAAAATAAATATTTTTTTTTTTTAAAACAGTACATAAATACAAAAGCGGAGAAGGGAAAGTTTTCCAAAGTGGTTTCGCGTATGTGTTTGCGAAGAGGAGACGAGGGGTGTCATTTAACAAAAGGACAAAGTCACACTTTCGGACGGACCTTCCCGAAAGGCTCGGGCAGAGGAGAGGTGCACCCTTCCCCCGGGGTGCAGGAGATGGGGGGGTGCCACTGGGTGCCACCGCGGGTCCCAGCTGAGGCGAAACAGGCGGTTTATCAAGGCAAAATAGGAATAACGAGGCTGGCTTGCTTATTTATTCTATTTATTCACCTACTCGTGTGCCTGATCGTCTATTCATATTTTTACTATTATTCGTTTCGCCAAGACTTCGACTCTCCCTTTTTCGAGCAAATCTGATCGTAACAAATTTTGGAAACAAGTTACTTCCCTGTATACATAAACGGCTGGAACGGTAGGGGACATTTGCCAAAAAAAAAAATCTATAAATATATGTATTTAAAATACATATATTTCAATCACCCCCTATGTATATTAATGGCTCTGTGTGCAGATATTAAAAAAACCCTCCGTGCGCTCAGGTGTAACCCCAAATCCGTGTGCAGCCGTACGCGCGTACAGAGACATCAGCAAACACACCTGACAAATACTTGGAAACACTCGGATACACACTGAAGACAGGGGCTTTTCGAAATATTTTCCATTACTGCAAGGCAGGGACTTAAAACACTGATGTTATTTTAGTTCGAGCTTTCCAAATATTTAAAAATAAAGCAGCTGAAAATGTATCCCTGGACTTAAAATACGCATAAACAAAAACCCCACACCTCTAAAAATACTGCACACTTCTCCGAGGCTCGGGCTCTTATCTCTGCTATAGGGCATCTGGGCTGGGCTTTAATTCGGTTGTAAAAAACTGGAGGAAGGAAAAAAGCTACCAACGAATAAAGCGAGGATTTATCTTTAACGTTTTAAGGGCGAAGAATTCCACCTGAAGAATGATCTGTAACTCCATCGAAAACACCTGAGCAGCAAGAACAGGGACTTCTCCAACAATAAACATGGGGAATTTTATAAAAAGGAAATCTATCCCATATCTTCCTAAAGCCCCTCCACTGTAAATGTCTTTTTATTGCTCTCCAGATGAGGTTTCTGTCCACTGCGATTTTTTTTGTTTAAAATTTCTGCAAGGTGGTTTATGTCTCCCCTCCGTGCGCTGCCTTTTTTTTTTTTTTTTTTCTTCTCCCGTGAACTTGTTTTTTTTTGGGAGGTCCCTCTGCTCCCCCAGCCGGCACCGGGCTGCGGGGATCGACAGGACCCCGGCCCCAACCAGCTTTCCCCCATATATTCTCCCCCCCCCCCGCTTTTGTACCACGTCCTCCTGGACACAAGACCCTTCTTAAAAACCGATTTTTCCAGCAACATCGAGGTTCACGGGGAAGGCGAGCCGTGAAACGGATCTGTTCGCTAAAACTTTATACAACCAACTCTATCTTTTTTTTATTATTATTATTATTTTCTCCTCCCTCTTCAGGCAAATTTTGGACGACCACAACAAATACCAGATGACAGAGCAAAATGAAAGTTTGACTCTGCGTTGTTTATTGTGCCCTTGCAATCTAAAGCCACTACTATTTCTACGCGTGGAAGGTTTGGTTGTTTTTTTTTTTTTTTTTTCCTCTTCCTCCGAGGATTTTAATTTAAAACCACAACGAAAAGAGCCTCTCTCAGGCTGCCCCCAGTTCGCCGATGGGACTGGAGACACTATTTTACTGGGTTTCGCTGGCTTAGGCACTCCTCAATTTAACAGTCCTCTAACACACTAATATTAAGGATAAAGCCAAACCGCCCCAAAGGCACCCGAATACACACGCGTACACATATAAGTATCTATGGATCACGTTTACTAAACCGGTCATGGAATCGATTACGCATAATCCCAATAAAATTGGATTTGCAAGGCTGTATATTTTTCTATACACCCACGCAGACAAACACACACATACAGAAATGTGTATCTGGACGCAGTTAGATCCGCATGCTATTTATTTGCGGACACATCTATCTATGCATCTAAACAGCTTTGCTATCAGTATATAAACAGTAGCTTAAGACCACATATACTTTTAAATGGGGTGGCGTGGGTGTTCTGGATGTATTGGCATCAGTGTGCGCAAAATAAATAAGAAACTTCTATAAACAGCGCAAGGCATTACAAAATCTCAGAAGGGCCGAGCTGCTCAGCATTTAATAAGCAAATTAATATTTAATTTTAAATAATAATGATAACAACAACAACGAAACCGCCCAGTGACCTGCTCTAAACAAGGTTAGTTTTTGGCCAAGTGCTTGCAACTCGCGTTCGCCTGGAAAGTTTCCAAAGGCCTGAAATTGGGATTAACGATCCAACTGTTCTGGTTTAGAAAGAAGCCAGAAGAAACAATTTCTGGTCAGTGTATCCTCGCAGGGAGGGCTCCCCGCACGCCGCCCCGGGCAGGGCTCTGCGGGTGCACACACACGCACACACGGGTGGGTCTGGCACACTCGAGACGTGACCGTAGCAATGTCAGGGAGAGACGGGCCGCGGGCACGCACCCCCACCCACGTGGCTGTGAGAGCACGCGCGTGTGTGTCCCGTAGGCAATTCCCCACCACCACCACCCGCAAACACGCACAAACAAAAAGGCAGATTCAGCCACGCAGACACGCGGGGGAGCGCGGACCCCACCCCGCCCCCCGCAACTCTTACCTCCCGGCCTTTGTTATGATCATCTCCGTCCCCACTTCGTGAAATTTCAGCCACAGCTCCCGTTCGTGCAAAAACACTTTGATCCCCTCCATGCCCTGCGAGGGAGGAAGGCACAAACCGTCAGCCCCGAGTGGGGCGGGGAGAGCCCCACCGGGGGGGCAGCCAGGGAGGGGGCGGCGGGAAGCTCGGCGGGAAAAGGCCGGAGCTGGGGGCATTCCCGGGATAAATCCAGCCGTTTATATGGTTGCAAAACCGGGGAAAACGGGGGTTTACAAGCCGGAGCTGGGTGATGCTGGCTAAGGGGGGGCTGGGGCAGGATCCTGCGGGTCTCGGAGGTGGGGGGGGGGGGGGGGGGGGGAAGGGGGCCCGGAGCCGGCCAGCCCCCCCATCCTCCCCGCTGCTGGGAGAAATACCCCCGCGCCCCGGCCCAGGACCCAGCCGGAGGAGATTTACACCCCTCCGATGAGTGATTTCCACCCGCCCGCTTCTCTTCCGCGGGCTGGAGCGGCGTGGGGTGTCATCTCTGCTCCCCGCGCCCGCTCGTTTCATTCACCCACACCCCACGGGGGCTGCTGGCAGCGCTTGGCACCGCGGGGACACCACGGCCCCTCACCGTGGAGTGGGAGGCACAGTGGACCGCCGCCCCTCAAGCCAAGCACATCTTTGCCCCCCACCCCACCCCCCCCCACTGAAAATGAAGCCCCGCCAAACGCTTCGGTGGTCGCTTTCCAAACGCCCACTGTGGCTCCGAGCCCTAGGGCAAGCCCAGGACCGGTGCCCGTTGCCCTCACCCCCGTGGGCTGCATCCACGGCGGGGGGGGGGGGAGGTTCCCCCCCGGGGGTTTACCTGCCAGGGGATAAGCGAGGCTCTCGGGGAGGGGGGGGGGGGGCGCCGCAGACGCTGAAAGCGAAGCGATCTCGGTGGAAAAGCCCTTCTCCCCGCCTCCCCCCGCCCCTCCGCTCCGGGGCTGCCCCGAGCCCGGCCGAGCACCGGGGACCGGCCCCCAGCACCGCTCGGCCCCGGGCGGGAAAGGCCCCGGCGACGGGGCAAGAGAAGCTGCCGCCTCGGCCTGCTCTCCTCGGCAGCGTGGAAGTCCGTGGGGAGCTGCGGCAGGCGGGTCTCGCGTGGGAACCCACACGTGTCCCGGTAACACGCGGCACCCCGCCGGAGGGGTGGGTGAGGGGCTTAAGGGGATGAGGGATGATGGAGGGTGTGAGGGGCACCCCAGCGTGTGCCTAGCCCCGGGGTTCACGCGTGACACTTCCCCCCAGGGCCCAGCGCGTGGGTGCGGGCAGAGCTGCGGGTGCACGGCGCGCGCGGGGGCTGCCCGTATATACACATCCATACTTATACGAACAGCCACGAGTGTTCTTAAGTCCTTAGCAAATATAGACACCCACACGTAGCTGTCTGTGGGTGCGTTTCCGTGTGCATTCGTACATTCGCGCGTGGGCTCCTGTGGTTGTGCGTCCACCGCCGCGTGGGCGGGCGCCTCTGGTATTGTGGGTGCTTTTCCACGCGTGCCCCTCCACGCACCCCAGCATTCCCGCATGTACTTTCCCAGAGGTTTAGCGCTTGAACACCAGCCCAAATAACACGAAAGCAGGATGAGGCCCACACTCAGGTGAGGCTTTTCACTCCCGTGGGGCCTAAAGCGGCTCAGCACCACCCTGAGCTGCAGCAGCCACCCAGCTGTGCTGACGTTTAGGGAGAAAAAGGCAGAGAAAAGGGAAAAATAAAGAGCGAGGGGGAGAGAAAAGAGGAGCGTGGGTCCTTACCTGCTGGGTGAAGGCTGCCTGGGGTGAGGTGGGGGACTTGCTGGTGGCCCCCAGCTGAGCGTCCTGCTTGGCTTCAGCCTGGAGCTCTTTGGCCTCCGAGTCAGCCGGCGTGGTCGGGAGCCCAAAGCCTTCCTCGCTATCCGCCATGTTACGAGCTTCCTTCGCTGAATCCCCCACTGCAGGCACACATCGGGGAGAGAGCAGAGATAAGAGACGCATAAGTCAATGCTGACGTTTAATAAAATATATATATATATATATATATATATACAGATATGTAGCAGGGAGCGAGCCGGAGCGCGGGGCAGGGCTGCCCGACAAACTCACGCTGCCCGCAACTCACTTCCAGCCGCCCGGGGAGGGAACAAGGCCCTTTAACTTTGGGAGAGGGAGAAATAAAGACTTTTATTTATTATCGCAGCCCGCAAGGGATGATAGGATTTGGGGGGGGGGGGGGAGGGGGGGGGGAGGGGGGGAAGGGGGAGGCGGTATTATTAAATGCATCTTTTGGAAAAGGTAAACAGCGTATTTTAGGTCTGTCTGGCAGGACACAAGGAGCAAGGTACGGGGGGGCCATGGACCAGCCAACTCATCACACAAGTGACTCTGGAGGTCAGGGGTCCGAGGTGGGGGGGGGACGGGGGGGGGGGACACAGGACAGGGCCTCCCCCGAGCCTTGAATACCTCCAGTTCACCCAGAATTGCTGCAGCCGAGGGGGTTGAAAGCCCCCACTTTCCTCTTCTGGGGAAGTGGGAGCTTTCACTCCACTCCAGTTTCAACCAGGCAAATGCCACTGACACACAAGGCCCCTTATACAACTCCATTTTCAAAGAAAATTCAACTTCATGCACCCCTACCAAAAAAAAAAAAAAAAGAAGAAAAGCAGCTTTTTCTCCCCCCACCCCGGACAGTTGCAAGTAAAGTAAAAGATGGACGAGATAATGAAAATATAAAAGTGCAAATAAATCAATCGGTTGAGACACTGTGCAAGGTAACGCGCACTTGGGCTGGTGAATGGGGAGGGGGGGGGAATTGGGGTTGAAGTGAACTAAGCCAGAACGTTTAGAGTAAAACTGCACCAGGGGAGAAAACGAGGTTAAAAAATACACAGTTTACATCTGATGCGAGTAACCACAGTAAGTTTTAAAAGCAGTATTTTAGTGTAGCTTTAAAGGCTCTATCAGGAATAGTAAAAGTTTCAAAGCAGCACAAGAAAATTTTTAAAAAAGATAAAAGCAATTGAATTATCTGTTGGGTTTTTTTTTTTGTTCTTAAGAAGTTTAGAGTTTTAGTAACTTTAGAAAAAATCTTTTGCATGTGTCAAAGAAGGGGATTCATTTTTGAAAGGCCAACCATATGGAGACAATATTTAAGTTCATGAGAATGATTTGAAATGACTTCTCCTTCTCCCTGCAACAATTTTTAAAAGCCGTTTAAAAAATTAAAGAAGAAGGAAAAAAAAAAAATAGCAATTCTCCTTTAAAAGCAGAGGAAAATTGAGAGTTGAAAGGAGAGGGAAGAAAATGATCTTCCCTGCTACTGGTGGGTAATATATACATATACGTATATATAATTTAAAAGGACAAAAAGCAAAGGGACTCCAGATCATGTAGAGAAACGGTCCATGCCCCCTCCCTTCCCTCCGCGCCCAAGCTGGGCGCCTGGCGGTAAAGCGACTGAAGGGCAAAGCAAAACCGCTGCGAGCGCGGAAAGTGCGCGGAGGGGCGCGGGGCTCTGCGAGAGCCGCTGCCCCGGGCCCGGGCCCAGCCCGCGGGGGCAGAGCCGCAGCTCCAGGGACCATTTAAGGCTTTTCTCTTCCCCTCCTCCTCTGTTTTTTTTTTTTTTTTTTTTTTTTTTTATTTATTATTATTATTAATTTTTTTCCCTGTGCTGTGGTTTTTTGTTTTTTTTTTTTTTTTCCTTGCTGCAGCTTGGGAAGTGCCGGTTATCCATTTTTTAATCGATTTCCCTCCAGCTTGGAGCTATTATTCCCCCTGAGTTGGCAAAGTTAGGGGGGGAAAACGAGGGGGGGGAAATAAAATAAAGCATGTTTATTAAAACAAAGAGGGACCCGGCTATGGCAGCTCAGGGCAGCCTGGCTCCAGCAAGCCTCCCCGATGCTCTCCACTTCGAGACATAATTAAGTAGATATAAAAATAATAATATTTTTTTTAAAAAGGGAGGAGTGACGGCAAAAAAATAACCCAACAACTAAGAGCAATTGGCCATCCGTGGCTTCTAATTTTTTTTTCCCCTTTAAAGAGCTTCTGAGAAGAAATGGAGCTTGACAGAACCAGGCCGCGGTGGCTGTATGAAAAATGCATCTTGCTAAAGTAGCACCAAGTGGGTTTGCGGGATGAAAAAAAAAAAAGAAAAAAAAAAAAAAAAAAAAAAACGGGGGGGGGGAAAGAAAAAAAAAAAATCACCCTTTGCTTTTGTTCCAGCTTCACCCCAGCCCCCCCCCCCCAGCCCCACACACTGCCACGGGAGCCCTGGGGAGACCAGCCCCCCCTTCCTCTGCACCCCACGTCTCCCGAGGCCTCGCAGCTCCTCGGCAAAGACAATTGGTGTCTAACAATGCCCCCAGCCAGCCACTTTCGCTCTCCCTCGGTCACACACACGCACACAGAGATTACAGACACCGACGGACATACATGGCAATGGAAGAGCTGTTACCTTGCTTGTTGAATTCCATGCAATCAATGCATCTCCATATATATAATGTATGTGTATATTTTCCCCCTTTGCAATGGAAATTACAATGGGATCAGGCTTCTCGTGTGCATATTTCCTTTTATTTATTTATTTGCGGATCAGCATGTGAAAACCCAGCCTGGAAGAAAAAAATCTATCCAATGCAAGCCTGCTTGCCTGCTTCTCTCTCTCTCTCTCTCTCTCTCTCTCCTGCTCTCTCCAAACACTTCCAGGTTGTCAGACGCACTAGAAAGGATCCTGAGACCAAGATAAAGCCCCCACCCCCACCCCTTTCTCAGTCTGATCTGGAAGATACAGTTTTCCCCACCCCACTCTTTCTACTCCTCACCTAAAAATAAAATATAAAAAAAAAAAAAATAGGAATAAAAAAAAAAAAAAAAGAGGGAGAGGACGAAAGAGAGGAAAAAGAAAACAGCACCCCCTTGGAAAAAAAAATTAAAAAAAAAAAAAAAAAAAGAAGGAAAAAAAGTTTCGGGCGCGCTGGCAGCCGCCGCTCCTCCGGGCAGGTTCGCGGCGCTGCCGCCGTGGCTGCGCGGAGCCGGGCGCGGAGCCGTGCGCGGAGCGCGGAGGTAACGTGGGCTCGTCCAGCTCCGTTCGCCAAGTGCCGGGACCCACTGCCCAACCAGCTGGGATCCTGCTCCGGAGAGACTCACTCTCACACAGCCCTCCCTCTCGCCCCCTCCCCCCCAAACCTCCTTTTCCAGCCTATTTTTCTGGCCGGCAAACAAGAACAAGGCACAAAGACAATCATCAAACTCCCCAGCAACCCTCCCCCTCTCCCTTACCTCCTTCCCCGCTCCCTCCCTCCCTCCTCCATCCATCTCTCCCAACCAAAGAGAAAATTCAGCGCCTGGGAATATCCCCCCCCTCCCTCACCCCTTTAAATAAATCGCTGGCTCCGCTAACCTCGCACCACCCCCGGCCCCCCCTGCCCTTAAAGCCAGCCTAGAGGTGTGGATTTAAACCCAGCTCTATATTTGTTAGTGATCACAGAGGCCTTTTATTGGGGTGGGGGGGATCCCCCCAGATGGACTCGCTTAATGGGTATAAACCTGGGGAAAAAAAAAAAAAAAAAAAAAAAAAAAGAATCGCGGTGGAGTGGGACTGAAACCCAGCGAAGGTGAACCCCGGGGTGTGTGCGTGGGGTTGTGGCCCTTGTCCCCGCTTCTGGAGGCCCCCGGGGTCCTTCCTCATCCTCTTCCTCACCCCTCGCAGCGCTGCCCGGCCGCCGGCCCCGCCGCCCCACGGCCCCGCCGCCCCACGGCCCCGCCGCCACGGCCGAGGGCCGCAGCCCCCCGGAGCTCTTTGCCGTGCTCAAATAATCAAACCGTCAGCGAGGAGTGGGGATGGGGTTTATCTGCATCTTCCTTCGCTCCCTTTTTTTAATGTATTATTTGGAGGGTAAAGTTGAATAGGTCAGCGCAGGGTAAACAGCCTCCCTGTCGCATTCTGCAGGCTGAAGAGAACCAGATTGGCGAGGCGGATTTTTGATAAGACTCGGAATAAATGGCATGGTTTAGATCTGCTCTGCCCACCCTCCTCCTGCCCCCACCCTCTTCTCGTCGCTGTCGTCCCCCCTACCGCCAAAATCCTTCGCTCTTTTCTGCCTTTCGGTCATTTCTTTTGCATTTCGCGGAAGTTTTCAGCAAAGCCACCCTTGCTCCCAGCTCTCGCAGGGCGCGATAACACCGGAGCCCTCTGAAAGTTTAAGGTGAGGAAGAGTAAAGTCTGGGGGCGAGCGGCTATTGGGGAGGGGGGTGCCTGTGTGGGTGTAGTTTGGCATCTCCCAAACCCTTTCCATGTGCACGCCAGTTCAAAGAGCTACTTGAGAAGAAACAGCCAACAGTAAACGGTTGCAAATAAGAATAATAAAATAACTGCACTTGTAGCCGCAGAGAATAAGCCAGACAACGCTACTTAAACAAACAGAGCAAAGCTTGTTCCATATTTCATTATTTTGCGAGGGGAAAGGGGCCGTGGAGCCCTTCCAAACACAAATAAACGAGCGAGCAAAGCGGGCGGTGCAGGAGCAGCCCCGGCTCCGGCCTTGGGGCGAGCGGGCAGCGCCCGCAAAGCCCTTCCCATCGCACGGGCTCTGCTCGGAAACGCGCAAATCGAGGGGAGGGCAAGCAAAATCAACTCAAATCAAATAAAGCAGGCGATCAGCGTGGTGCTGGGCGCTGCGGGAAAGCCGGGGAAGGACGGGCGAGCGCGGCCGCCCCGCACCGCGCCTGTGCTGGGAGCATCCCCCGAGGCACTCGGCTCGCCCGAAGGAAGCGGGTTTTCTCTTAAAAAAAAAAAAAAAGATTAATGAAAGCGACGAGGAGAAAGGTTTCTCGCAGCTGGTAGCGAGAGAAAACACGAGCTTCCCTCCCCTCGCCGGAAAGAAAGGCAAAAGTGAAAATCTCTGAAGTTTGTAAGAGCGAACCCGAGCACGGCCGCTGCCTGGGAAAGC